ATGTTTAATTTCATTTAAAAAGTCTATTATTTAATATTTATTAAATTTAAAAAACTTCAATTAAATCAAACGAAAGAAAAAATATTGATTAATAAACGTATAATTAAAACAATACTCATAAAACTGCCAAATATTAAGTACATTTGGTTTACACATAACTCCTATTATGAACACAATATGCGATACAGTGTTGAAAATTATCAACAAATCATTAAATTAATTATCAAACACTGCAAACGCGTAAAGACTATTGATTTGGTTAATAAACACATCGGCAAACAATTAAGCGACAAATTATTACAAAAGTCTATAAAACTAATCAATACTAACAACAAGACTACTGGTGAAGGTCTGCTGACTATCTGCCCAAACATAGAGGAATTGGATTTGGGATCAAAGGACTTGTCAGATATTTATCACAAGAATGATATGATTTCAATGAAACTCTTAAAAACATTGAAAATTTACTCAAACGGAATGGACTATCAATTGTTGGACACATTTTTAGCCCAAACGCCCGCTTTAGAGGAGTTTGAATTGAAGGGCGATTTTGGTGTGAATTACCTTATATTTCGCAGTCTTTCACTATTACAGCGATTAAAACGTTTAACATTAGTCTCACAAACGGGACAGTCTGTTGGTCTGGCCTTTGGAGCATTTGCCTCCCGGTGTGAAGAGTTAGAGTCGGTGGACATACGAGTAGACCATTTCCCCACCGCTCACGAGATGTACCACTCGTTCAGACACTTTATACACATTAAAAAGTTTACGCTTAAAGTGTTTAATGATTTTAAGTATAAAATTAAAAATTATCTCTCGTTTGAAAATTGTTTCCCAAACGCCAAACAAATGACATTTTTGTGGTTAGAAATCAATGAAATTAATGACAACTCATTCAAAGACTGCCATCTCTTTGCGCCACAACTCGAGACCATTTATATGAGTACCGGTGAAGTCTTGACGGATGTGACTATAGATTACATCTCAAGACTACCAAAGTTGTGGTCAATAGAAATAAGTAAAGCTATTGTAAGCGATGAATGCGTTCACAATCTTGTGATGAATTGTCCAACAATTGAATTAATATCACTTTCGGAGCTAAAGATTGACCAACAGATGGATAAACGGATTAATCTCTCGGACAGTGATATGCGAGCCGTCCGTCAAAAAAGAAAATACCATAAATTTAATGCAAATATATTTTAATTTCATGTGATTTACACAATATTATCGTAATATTCTTTGATTTGTATTTCAAGATAAATGATTTTGCATTTTAACACACTTTTGGTTATATTTAAGAATAATCTATACGTTAAATGTTTTAATATATAATTAAACATCAATTAATTTTTATTAAATATAACTTATAATGTAATTAAATATTGTATTTATAAAGTTAGCAATTAATGATAAGATTATTAGCAGTAATTTTGCAAATAACTATATTAAAGCAATACAAATATCAATACATAAATCATATCTTATATAAAGACTTGGATTTCAAATATTTAAACATTATTTAAGAATTAATGACAATATTTTTAAGAATCGTTACAAACATATCACTAAATTAATGAGCATTTTATTAATAATAAACTAAAACTTAAGTGAATTCAAAACGTATTTTACTTAAAATAAATTATAAAATTTGGATAAAAAAGATAATTCTGTGAAAAACAATTGAAAAATAAAATAAAATAAAGCCAATAAATATGTGTTGAGATCAATATGAAATTTATGGAAATATAAAGTGTTGATTGTTTCCGAACTCATTGTTATTCTCGGCCTCAATGTCGGTGTTATAAGCAATTTTAAGATAATATCCAGAGTTATAACAATACCAATACTTATGGCAAGTAAGCCGTCCGTCAAACCAGTCCTATACAAATAGACCATATTTTTAATTTAAAGTAATATACAGTGAAATCTCTCTATAAGAAACCCCTCTAAATACCTTGAGTTCGAACGGTTTCATTTGGATAAGCACTCCAAGACTAGTGCTGTAATGGATTTGCAACTTTAGCTTCATATCTAATAACATATACCCGATTCGGTTGTTCTTCTTCTTCGGGTGAATCTCTTTGGATTCGGTAAAACTCAGCTTAAATTCAGTCAATACTATACTCTTGTCTCCTTCTGTGATATTTCTAGAATAGCAAATCCAGTGATCTTTAATCTCGTGAGTCATGAAAAACATAGTTATAATTATAATCAATATAATTATTATAACAATAGCTATGATTGCGAGTCCACTGTACACCTATTAAATATAGACAATATTAATCAATTGAATAGTGTTTGTAATAAACAAAAAATGGTATAAAATAATACATAGTATTTCTTTGCGGTGTTATTTGTGTTTCGCTCAGACTTCACCTTCTGGTTAGCGGCCGAAGAATGGCTTGTCGTTGGTTTGGCTTTAAATTGGGAACAATTGGCATACACTGTGTAGTTGTCCGGGTGTTGACACTTGGGATGCAATACAAAGTGTGAAATATTCATAATTATCACAATAGATATCATGTCTAACCTCTGAATGAAAGAGACTATTACTTGAGTGACAATAAGAGACCACTTTATCCTCGTTATAGAGAAACAAATAGTGAGTAATTAAAGTCTCATTAGTGTCGAAGAGATTGAACACGAATACAGCAATCAGTGGCCGATTGGTCTCCGGACTCGTAAGACTGGTCAGCGGTTGTGTAGCTTTCGGGTCGTTATCGGCAGTCATCTTGGATTGAATGCCTTTAATCACGCGATCAGTACTTATCGTTGGCTTCAACTGATCGTCAAACTCATAGCACCGGTACTCTCGTCGGTACGAGCCTTTAGAGACAGAGGTCTGGGCGGCGAAACACACGTCACTGACATTATGACCGACAATACTGGCGTAGAAAGCGAGTGAAGGGTTAAAGTCTTGGCCGAAATCAATGGATCCATTCTTCCACTGATCGCCGGAACTCTTCTTCTCCAACTCATAGCCCTTGAGATTCATTGCCNGACATTATGACCGACAATACTGGCGTAGAAAGCGAGTGAAGGGTTAAAGTCTTGGCCGAAATCAATGGATCCATTCTTCCACTGATCGCCGGAACTCTTCTTCTCCAACTCATAGCCCTTGAGATTCATTGCCATCCAATCTATTGAAGATTTCTGTTGTGAAAATTGAATACAATTTAAACAATTAACTAATATTTAGAAAGGTTTAGGAATTCGGCAGTGAATTACATGATATATGAAACCCGTTATCCACTCCTGTCTTCCGGTGCCATAAGGAGTGACGAAAGCCATCGAGTATTTCTCGTGTGGAAACGAATCGGAAACAACACTTGCGGTTTGAGCGGTGATCCTAACGCTCGTCAACTGTCCCGTCGATCCCAACCCTTCAACCAAAACGTGCCAATAGTCGCGGCGTTATTTGTCTTTCGATAACATCAGTGCTGGCCGGCTACCCAATGACATGCGTTTCAGATACCGTAACAATAATAGTTGTTTACGGACTGTTTTCAGGCGAGGTATATGACCTGAGTCTCTACACTAGGAGTCTCTACACTAGTGTTCATTATATTAGTAATAAAGTCTATGATAAGAACATTAAGTTAACCTTAAGTTTTGACGAAAACTCAATTTCTGTTTCTAAACTCACAAAACATTTAACTATAGTTAAATTATTTACAACGGTTTTCAATGAAATTGAAAATTGTTTTAATCGTATACTAAATTTATCAATATTTGTAAAATATTAGATTAAATCAAAATAACAATACTGTCACGCTTTTTACAATTTTTCAATTGAATGCACTTGGTTAATTGTTTAAAATTATTAAAATTTAAATTATATTTGTGACCATTGATATTAAAAATAAAAACTAAAAGTTATAAAAATTTAGTTGAAATTATTGAGATCTTAAATAACAAAAAATTATGAAACGAAGTTAACTTTAATAGTTATGCATATATTTTATATAAATTAAATTAAGACAATAATTGTTACTAAACAAAAATAATAATTATTATTATCCTAAGACTCTAAATAACCAAATAATAAATAATTGAAAAATTAATCATTAATAGATCACTATTTGATTGCTTCGAGTATTTAATATAATTATTTTCAATCAGTTCGTTATAACTCCGGTGACGATGTCTGGCGTTCAGCCATTTCATCTGATCTGTTGGTCAATCCTCTATCAACACTACTATCACTCCTGCGTCTGGGATTCGGGACTGACTGTGGATTCGGTCTAACAGTAAAGTCCCGTAAGGAAAAGGCGCCGAACACAACCACTTCCAGGATTAACACCAATAATAACAAGAATATAATTATCCGAAGTATTGTATTCATGGTATCGCTCTTCTGGTCACCGCTCTGTGAGAAGGGGAAGAACGTTGTGGAGGGGGTCGGGGAGGGAGAGGGCGACGAGTATGTAGACGGGAAGGCAGTAGTGGTGGAAGAAGGCGTTGAAAGGACCGTATACTGGGAACAGTTAACCAACACTCTGTAGTTGTCCGGGTATTGGCACTTGTAATACAAAACTTGTATTAATTTTACAATTATTATAATTGTTATAATGGCTAACCTCTCAATGAAATAGATTAGCGTCTGAATAGCAATGAGTGGCCGATTGGTCTCCGGACCCGTAATACTGGTCATCGTTTGTGCGCCACTATTGCCCGTCATTTTAATTATAATAGCTTTGATCACACGATCGTTGCTTATCGTTAGTTTCAACTGATTGTCAAACCCATAGCACCGGTACTCTCGTCGATACCGTTATCGGCAACGATATCGGGGTAAAAGCCATCGTTCACTAAAAATTGTGGCCAAAATCAATGGACCCATTCCTCCACTGATCACTGGACCTCTTCTTCTCCAACTCATAGCCCTTGAGATTCATTGCCATCCAATCGATGAACAAATTCTATGTATAAATAAAGCAATTTTGAAATTAAATTATAACTCAATGAATAGTATAAGAGGTTTTGAAAATAAGATATTTTATAAGTAAAAAGGTAGACAACCCTTCAAGCCTCGGACAACACCAAACTACCATGATGACAGACTACAGGCACCGGTCACCGATGGCCACTGAATCGGCTGCCAAGAAGGGGTCCGCTCTACAATATGTTATCATATTATACAATATAAAAGACAAATATAAGACACATGTTTTTATTAATTATCTAATTGACAATAACAGACATTAATATAACACGCTGTTATTTATTTAAATTTATATTATGTGGTTGATTTTACAAAAGAGATAAATGTTTATTCGTCAATTATTCAAAGTTTTATTAATTGTAAAATAATTAACATTTATATGATTATAAGTGACCAGAATGGTAGCCGTAATATTATGAAGGTGTAAATTGTAAAATAATTAACATTTATACGATTAGAAGTGACCAAAATGGTGCCGGCAATATTATCAAGGTGTAAATTGTAAAATAATTAACATTTATATGATTATAAGTGACCAGAACAGTAGCCGTAATATAATGGTAGCCGTAATTTTAAGGTGTAAATTGTAAAATAATTAAGATTTATACGGTTATAAGTGACCAGAATAGTAGCCGTAATATTAAGGAGGTGTAAATTGTAAAATAATTAACATTTATACGATTAGAAGTGACCAAAATGGTGCCGGCAATATTATCAAGGTGTAAATTGTAAAATAATTGAGATTTATACGATTATAAGTGACCAAAATGGTAGCCGTAATTTTAAGGTGTAAATTGTAAAATAATTAAGATCTATACGGTTATAAGTGACCAGAATGGTAGCCGTAATATTAAGGAGGTGTAAATTGTAAAATAATTAACATTTATACGATTAGAAGTGACCAAAATGGTGCCGGCAATATTATCAAGGTGTAAATTGTAAAATAATTAAGATTTATACGATTAGAAGTGACCAGAATGGTAGCCGTAATATTAAGAAGGTGTAAATTGTAAAATAATTAACATTTATACGGTTATAAGTGACCAAAATGGTAGCCGTAATTTTAATGAGGTGTAAATTGTAAAATAATTAAGATCTAATACTGTTATAGTTGGCAAACATGGTTGAACATGTTTATGAAGGTACACTTAGTAGAATCGTTAAGATCTATACAATTATAAGTGACCAAAATGGTAGCCGTAATTTTCTAAAAGTGTAAATTGTAAAATCATGAATGATTCCATAATTTCCAACTCATAGCCCTTGAGATTCATTGCCATCCAATCGATGAACAAATTCTATGTATAAATAAAGCAATTTTGAAATTAAATTATAACTCAATGAATAGTATAAGAGGTTTTGAAAATAAGATATTGTAGGGCTGTACTGATATCCTTTCTAAATTTATCTCTTATATTCATATATCCTGTTATCTCTACCAGACACCGTCAATTAAATGTATACGTTTCGATCAGTACTGCTCTATTGTCGCTCTGTTTATAGACTATGGGGTGATCCTTGTAGCCAATAATAAGTTTGATAATGAAAAGGCCCGGTGTATATAAACCCCATTATTCCACCTAAAAAGTAAGCTGGGCTTCGGAACGTTAAGAGCACACTTCTCACGTGTAACTCCTATTTGCCACTTTTTCTATCTATGTGAATTGTATATTTTGTTAAGTGTTTTAATAAAATGTGTTTAAAGAACATAAGAATACATTTATTAGATCAGTTTATAAGTAAAAAGGTAGACAACCCTTCAAGCCTCGGACAACACCAAACTACCATGATGACAGACTACAGGCACCGGTCACCGATGGCCACTGAATCGGCTGCCAAGAAGGGGTCCGCTCTACAATATTAATATCAAATATTTCATTGAATCCAATGTTATCTAAAATCTATTGAAAATAAAACATCGCTTGAAATGACTTTTGTATTGAATCTAACGTTTTGTCCATTCATTTGCATTGAAAGGCATTAATGTTTTACATTCTGATTGTGTCGATAATTATTGTCGCTTTCATTGCCTCTAAATTCAATGCAAACAACAGTCACACCAACAAAAAGACCGCACAAAACATTGAATCCATTTGTAATAAGATTACAAACAATTAAGAATTTTTACTTAATTTATATTATTATAAAATTTTGTAATTAAAATCTTATAAAGCTTTAGTAATATTTAATAAAATTCAAGTAAAAAACGTTTTATTCACTACATTTAAAATCAAATTTCCAAAAGGAATTTATACGTTTAAAATTTCAGGACAAATATTTCATAACATAGGATCATTATTACCAAATAAAAACGAAACTCCTAAATTTATGCAAATATATTTTTATGACACTAAAGAACAATTAAAAACAAGGATAGATACAATGCCTAATTTAAATATAGAAACTTTGAGAAAATTACAAAATATGTTACATGAACATAATCATCATATTAAAGAATTGAAAACAATTTATGAACGTTTAAAAACAGACAAATCCCAAAATGATATACGAGTCAAATTATTAGCTAAACACAACAGAGATCCAAAAACTCATAATCTTCCTTCTAAAGATTGTCCTGATATAGCAGTTTTAATGCCAAATGAAACAACTGAAAATAGAGATATTGTTATAGAATATAGAAATAATAAACAAATACACATGAATCAAAATAACAAACTTTACGATCCATTAGCTTATCCTCTTATGCATCCTCATGGGGAGTATGGTTGGAGTCTTGAACTTAAAGAAATCAAAGGAAACAAAAATTATACTTTAATGAATTATTATAAATATATATTGTACTACAGAGAACAAATCAGCAATGCCCATTTGTTTGGCCGATTATATTTACAATATGTTGTTGATATGTACGTTAAAATCGAACAAAGCAATTTAAATTATCTATTTTTTAATCAATCAAAACTTCGTACTGAATTATACAACGGTCTAATGGATTCTATAGGAAAAGGAATAAACCCAAAAGATATTGGCAAGCAAATAATTTTACCAAGTACTTTTATAGGGTCACCAAGATATATGCAAGAAAAATATAGAGATGCTATGGCTATAGTTTCACATTTTGGAAAACCAGATTTATTTATAACTTTCACAATGAATCCTTATCATAAAGATGTTGTTGATAATTTACTACCAGGACAAAAACTAAGTGATAGACCTGATATGGTCAACCGTGTTTTTCATATGCTACTTGAAAATTTGATAAAAGACATAAAAGAGAAAAAGATTTTTGGGAATGTACTTTCAATCATATATAGAATTGAATTTCAAAAACGTGGATTACCACATGCACATATATTAATTATTTTAGCTCCTGAAGATAAACCACGAACAATTGAAGATATTGATAATATAGTGTGTGCTGAAATTCCAAACAAGGATTTGCACCCTGAAGCATATGAAACTGTATTAAAATGCCAATTGCATGGACCATGTGGCAAAGACAATCCGAATGCACCATGTATGATAGCATGTGAAGGACAACTTGAGAAGAAATGTTCTAAACATTTTCCAAAGAAATTCAATAATGTAACAAAAATTATCGAATAATATCCTGAATATAAACGAAGGGATAATAGAGACGAAAATATTAAAAATGGTAAACATTTTGTCAATAATAGTATGGTTGTACCATATAATTTATATTTAACAACAAAATATAATTGTCATATAAATGTTGAAATTTGTGCATCAGTAAAGTCAGTTAAATATATCACAAAATATATACACAAAGGAAATGATGCAGGTATTGTTGAAATTTCTAATAACGAAATACAAAAATTTCAATCAGTTAGATATGTATCTTCTTCTGAAGCTATATGGAGAATATTTAGTTATAAATTATCATATATGTGCCCTAATGTTTATCGATTGGCAGTGCATCTTGAAAATGAACAAAATGTAACTTTTCAAGATAATGGAAAATGCATTTTAAATGTTAACAGGCATACAAATTTAACAATATGGATGGAATATAATAGAAACCATGCAGAAGGATCGCATCTAACATATTCTGAATTTCCTAAGTATTTTTGGTATGAAACAAATAGTTGGAAAAAACGCAAACGCAATTCTGAAGAAACAATTGGAAGAATGTTTTCAGTCAATCCTAATGAACAAGAGAGATTTTTTTTAAGATTAATGCTAAATTATATACAAGGAGCAACATGTTATAACGATTTAAAAACTGTGAATGGTGAAATCTATCCCACATTCCAGTTAGCTGCAATTGCATTCGGATTACTTGAATCAGATGAAATTTGGGATAAAACCTTAACAGAAGCTTTAACTTATAATAATCCGAAACAATTAAGGGAATTATTTACATATATTCTTATCTATTCGAATCCATCTAATCCTATGTTATTGTGGGATAAATATGAGGATTCTTTAACAGAAGATTTACAAAGAAAGTATTTAATAGATTCTTTTTCAAGTCAATTAATTGATCCACATGCTATTAATGATGCATTAATTGCAATTGAAGATATCTTGAATCAACAAAACAAGTCGCTATCAAAACAATTTTTGACTTCAATGCCCCAAATTAATAGTAAATTAATTAATTTAAAAAATGAATCAAAATTTATTACAGATCAAAAGTTAAACAAATTTGAATCAATATTAATTAAAAATACAATTTCTGACAATATTGAAAAATTAAATACAGAACAGAAACAAATATTTGATCAAGTATTACAATCAACTAATCGTGATAACAACAATTTGTTTTTTGTTGATGCACCTGGTGGTACAGGTAAAACATTTTTATTTAATTGTATAGCAGATTTTTTACGAGATAGAGGAGACATTGTACTATGTGTTTCAACATCTGGAATTTCTGCAATTTTATTAAACAAAGGTATTACAGCTCATTCAAGATTTAAAATTCCAATTGTAATAAATGAATATTCTCGATGCTCAATTTCTTGCCAAACTCAACAAGCAGAATTAGTGAGAATTTGCAAATTAATAATATGGGATGAAGCGCCTATGATGAGCAAATTAAACTATGAATGTGTTGATAGAACATTTAAAGATATAATGAATAAACCAAATGTACCATTTGGTGGTAAAGCAATGTTATTTGGAGGAGATTTTAGACAAATTTTACCTGTCATTCCTAAAGGAATGAGATTTGATATAGTTAATAGTTGTATGAATAGATCAATTCTTTGGAATAAAATAATAATTTGCCATTTAAAAATTAATGAACGATTAAAACATATAACATCAAACACAACTGAGTTTAAAACCTTTTCGGAGTTCTTACTACGAGTTGGTGAAGGTACTGAGCGTTATGTTCAATCACCTGATTTTATTGAACTTCCAGCAGAAATATGTGATGATGTAACAAATTTTGATAAATTCTTAAATGATATTATTGAAAGTAACACTCTTGATGAATGGACAATATTAGCAACAAAGAATGACATTGTTGATGATATTAATAATAAAATAATGTCCAAAATACCTGGAGATACAAAAACATATATTAGTTTTGATACAATTGCGGAAACAGAAAATCAAAATAATTATGATATAGAATTTTTAAATTCTCTAAATTTAAGTAGAATTCCACCTCACAAATTAATCTTAAAACTTGGTATTCCAGTTATGTTAATGAGAAATATAAATCCTTCTAAAGGATTGTGCAACGGAACACAATTACGCATATTAGCATTAAAACAAAATTTAATAGAAGCAGAAATTCTTAAAGGATCTTATAAAGGGCAAAAGGTTTTTATACCTAGAATTATATTAACAAAACTTGACGAGACTATGCCATTTACATTACGTCGACGACAATTTCCAATTAGGCCATGTTATGCAATGACTATTAACAAAAGTCAAGGCCAGACCTTAAACAAAGTAGCTATTCACCTTGAAAAGGATGTTTTTAGCCACGGTCAATTATATGTCGCTTTATCACGTGTTACATCTAAACAATCATTAAAAATATTTACAAGAATAGTTGAAAACAAATATATTGCAAAAAATGTAGTCTACCAAGAAGTATTTAATAATGAAAGTTTGACACAAAATAAGGATGATACTCAATTGTCTACTTTGCAATCACCATTTAAAAAGGTAAAAATTTCAGATACTAAACAACCTGAACATAGTTCAAAGCATGTTAAAGTTCAATCTCAAATTGAAGATACATGTGATATCTTAACACAACAGTGTAATAATATATTAAAAGATATTAATTATACATTAAATTATATTTCTAATTTTTCATATGAATATATTTTTGGACAACATAATGTTACATATAATATAATATGTGATTTATTAAGAAGCAAATCGCGAGCAATTGTTTCAGATGTAATCATTTCAGACTGGAGATACGATGTTCCATTAGATGAGCATTATAATGTTGTTCCGAATTCAATGGAACAATCGTTTAAAGAATATAATGTTCCAGATGATGGTTCTTGCTTTTATCATGCTGTATCTATGGCATTATTCGGCACAAGGAAATACCGTCATATTATCCGTTTTGCTACTTTAATATCAATGTCAAGATATATTCAATATTTTAATTCATATGCCAATATTTATGCGTCAGATGTTTTAACTGAATTGAGATCTATATCATCTGCTGGAGGTTGGGCTAATGATATTTCTATCTTAGCGACATCAATTGCTATAAATGGGCCAATAAATGTATATCACAGTGACTGTATTCGGACAATAATAGCACCTTCAGCATTTATTGAAAATACACCTCAAAATATACATTTAAATATAGCACATGTTGGTATGACTCGCAATGCTGAGACTCCTAACCATTACCATGCATTATTACCTAATTATGCAGATTATGAACTGCCACCTATAAATAACAGAGGATTGCCATTTGATTATATTAATGGTATTACTGTGACACGGTATCCCATTAACTAAATGGTTAATTACCTAGTTTGTGACTAAAATTATACAATAAACGAGATGAACCCCCCGCTCCCCCCGTTAATAAATTATTTGATGAAAAAACAAAGTTTAAAACAAATGTTTCAATAGTCTGTAATTTCATTTCCTGTCTATTGTCTGTCTATTGATGAGTCAAATGTCAACTCAAATGAGTGCTAACCATTGACCGATGATAGGGTTGAAAGGCATATATGCACTGAAATCATATGCAAACACATCAAAAAAGCAATATATTTCATATAGTTATGATTATTGTCAATAATTAAGCGATTGATTGGTATTTGATGTAAATGTGGACACAATTTGGGTGTAAATTGTGTTTACTTTCGGCACTCAAACCACAAATCAATTAAAAATTCAATTAAATAATTGAAAAACACTTTCAATTAAAGACAAAATCAAAACTTTTGCCGCAATTTATAAACAATAAAAACATAAAACCATTTGCTTTCAAGCATTGACTCAACTCTGACTCACACTCTCTTAACCCAAACCAATAATTGGTTTAATAGTTTCGATAATATTTATACCCAAATAATGTTTCCAATATGTGAGGGATTTTCCAACAATTCTCAACTATGAGTCTATGAGTCAGACTTTTGATGGGAAACATTGTCTAATCTTTGTGTAAACAACGAAATCATTGGTTAACAAACATTTGGTGTATTGTATGAGTGTTTGGCATAAATAGTGACATCTTTTGGGTATTAAATACCAATCCTTTAGTCAGTGATCGACCGGTGCTTAACATAACCACAAACTCATTGATTGTTTCAATTGTTTAACCCAACTGTCAAACAAAATATTGAAAATATTGCCACCAGATATAGCACATCCGGATTAGACCTCCTGTCCATCAATACAACTCTGAGGACAATACTGTGGACAGCGATAGACATAATGCCGGCTAAACATCGGCACAAACTTATTGATTGAATTGTTTGCCATTTATAACAAAACTTTATTTAGGTTTTAGTTTATAAATAAATCATTTGTATTACAATTTATTAAACAATTGATTGTTTTTATTTGTTATGCTTTCCTAAAAGAAAAATTTGATATGATTTTTAAAATTTTTATTTACAGTAGAATTAAAGTATAATTAAATATATTTAAATATTTAAACAGAATAATAAAAATAATTGTTTAAAATTTAATTACATTTAACCAAAACTAAAGTTATAATAAATAATATCGCATACAATGTATGATTAGTGAAACGAAATGAAAAGTTTATATAATTGTTATAATTTATTAATTTTATATAAATGTTTAAAAATTATTTCTTTTGCTTCAAATGAACATAACTTTTGTGTCGATTTAAATGTGCATTTGTTGTGAATTTTTTGTTGCAATTGTCTTCATTACATTTAAAAGGCCTTTCATTCAAATGAACACATCTTTTATGTCGATATAAATGTGATTTATGTGAAAAACCTTTATTGCAATCATTAAAATCGCAAACAAATGGTTTCTCTCCCGAATGTATGCGTTTGTGTCGAATTAAATCTGAAATTCCACCAAAACCTTTGCCACAATTCTCTTCATTACATTTGAATCGCTTTTCATTTAAATGAACACAACTTTTGTGTCGATTTAAATGTCCATTTGTTTTGAACCTTTTGTTACAATCACTGAAATCACAACTAAATAGCTTTTCTCCCGAATGCCAGCGTTTGTGTTGATTGAGTTGCGGTTTATTTTTAAAACTTTTGCCACAATTTTCTTCATTACATTTGAATAGTTTTTCATTCAAATGAAAACATCTTTTGTGTTGATTTAGATTTGATTTGTGTGGAAAACGTTTCGTACAATCATTAAAATCACATTTAAATGGTTTATCTCCCGAATGCATGGATTTGTGTTCCATTAACATACGATATACTTTAAAACTTTTATTACAATTTTGTTCATCACATTTGAATAATTTTTCAGTCGAATGAATATAACTTTTGTGTGAAATTAAATGTACTTTTTGTGAAAAGCGTTTATTACAGTCATTGAAATCACAAATAAATGGTTTTTCTCCCGAATGAATGCGTCGTTTGTGTAGTTTTAAGAGTGATTTTTGACTAAAACTTTTGCCACAATTCTCTTCATTACATTTAAATGGCTTTTCTTTCAAATGAACACAAATTTTGTGATAATTTAAATGCGATTTTTGTGAATAACATTTATTGCAATTATTAAAATCACATTTAAATGGTCTTATATTTGTTGTATGAATTAATTGATGAGCTTTGAAACGCATTTTATGTATAGTTTTATAATCACATTTCGGCCAAAAACAGCGATAAAACTCATTATTAATTGTTTTATTAATTGAAAGCAATGTTTCACTGATTTTCAATGTTTTGCAATCAATTGTTTGATTCAAATGTAAATCCAAATGATTTAGTGATTCAATCGTTTCATTCAAAACACTATAATTTGTATTCAAAATACATTGCATTTTGTCTATCGTTTCGCAGAAAACCTTCATTTCATTGAATTTATTCATCATTTGATTGAAATCCAAGTCTTCTATCACTTGAGCCNGTATTCAAAATACATTGCATTTTGTCTATCGTTTCGCAGAAAACCTTCATTTCATTGAATTTATTCCTCATTTGATTGAAATCCAAGTCTTCTATCACTTGAGCCCACGTTTGGCTCGAGTTGTCTTCAGTGGCCATCACTTCAGCTGTAAATCCGGTTTAAAATGTGCACAAAGTTTACCACAATTTATAAACAAATCAATTGTTTTTATCGATTGCTTAAAATATTACATAAAATATGACATAAAATCACATCAAAACTTAAACTATTTATTAAAACATCAATCAATTTGTAACTAAAAATATACAATAAATTATTGTCAATAATTAAGCGATTGATTGGTATTTGATGTAAACGTTTAATAATTGAAATCGCATTCAAAATGTGGACACAATTTGGGTTTAAATTGTGTTCACTTTCGGCACTCAAACCACAAATCAATTAAGAATTCAATTAAATAATTGAAAAACACTTTATATTAAATACAAAATCAAAACTTTTGCCGCAATTTATAAACAATGAAAACATAAAACCATTTGCTTTCAAGCATTGACTCAACTCTGACTCACACTCTCTTAACCCAAACCAATCATTGGTTTAATAGTTTCGATAATATTTATACCCAAATAATGTTTCCAATATATGAGGGATTTTCCAACAATTCTCAACTATGAGTCTATGAGTCAGACTTTCGATGGGAAACATTGTCTAATCTTTGGGTAAACAACGAAATCATTGGTTAACAACCATTTGGTGTATTGAATGAGTGTTTGGCATAAATAGTGACATCTTTTGGGTATTAAATACCAATCATTTAGTCAGTGATCGACCGGTGATTAACATAACCACAAACTCATTGATTGTTTCAATTGTTTCTCAATTCAAAGAAAATATAATTTCATTTTAAGTGCAAATAATTTATATGAATTAAAATTTATTAAATCATTGAATGTTATTATTTGTTTATTGTTATTAAAATAAGATTTGAGATATTTTTACATTTTTAATCATTTAAATGTATTTTGAAATCACAAAAAAAAAGTTTTCGTATGTTTAGAAATTAAATATTAAATATAAAAATTTTTCTACAAATGCACACATTTTTTGTGTCGATTTAAATGTGATTTTCTCAAAAAACTTTCAAAACAATCATTGAAACCACATTTGAATGGCTTTACCATCAAATGGATGCGTTTGTGTTTAAATAGATTGTATTTTGTACTATAACTTTTATCACAATTCTCTTCATTACATTTGAGTTCCTTTTCATTCAAATGAACATAACTTTTGTGTCGAAATAAACTTGTTTTAGTCGTAAAACTTTTGTTACAATTATTGATATCACAAACAAATCTTATATTTAAATGATTGCTATTTTTGTGTTGAATTAAATGAAAGTTTCTTGTGAAACTTTTGGTGCAATTACTGAAATCACATTTATATGGTTTTTCTCCCGAATGAATGCGTTTGTGTCGATTTAGATCACATTTGTGTCCAAAACCTTTATCGCAATTTTCGTCATCACATTTAAATGGTTTATCACTCGAATGAACAGACATTTTGTGTCGAAATAAATCGTATGTTTTTGCAAAACTTTTGTTACAATCAGTGAAATCACATTTTAATGTTTTATTTAAATGAATGCTATTTTTGTGAATAATTAAATGATATTTTCGTTTATAACTTTTATGGCAATTATTAAAATCACATTTAAATTGTCGTAATTGTGAATGACTTGATTGATGTATATTTAGATTGCCTTTGAATTTGGTTTTATATTCACAGTTAATCGAAAGACAGTAAAAATATTTATGATTATTATTTGAAATATTATTAGTTTCAGTCATTGAAATCATTTTATCACTGATTTTGAATGTTTTGCAATCAATTGTTTGATTGAAATCCAAATGATTTATTGATTCAATCGTTTCATTCAAAACACAATAATTTGTATTCAAAATACATTGCATTTTGTCTATCGTTTCGCAGAAAACCTTCATTTCATTGAATTTATTCCTCATTTGATTGAAATCCAAGTCTTCTATCACTTGAGCCCACGTTTGGCTGTCG